CAAAAAGTCCATAAGGGGTTTCCAGTCACTGATAAATGTAGTTGTTGATCTTTCTCTAATCCAAGAAGTTAATTTTGCCATCTCCCTATATTGCAGTTCTAAATTCTACTGGATAGCCTTCATTAAATATATTGGTAAAGGCAGAAATAATGTTTTACTGTAGAGGTGTAGAAGGAGAATGGTGTTCCTCTCCGTTGGCCAAATGTGAAGGAGTCAGGTAACACCTTTTCCAACTAACAAATTTGATTAAAAGCCATAAATGTTCAGGAGCATCTGATCAGGTTATGCCTTTTAATTGAATTTGTTAGTTGGAAAAGGGGCTATCCTGTTCATGTCATGCTCTCTGCATTAGCTTTCCAAAATGATTCATCATTCTCTTACCCATTCTTTTTCCTGCTGCAACTGAAAAACTATTACGAGTTGATCAATGGGGTCTTGTTACCCTGAGAGATCCAACTCCTATCCTTGTATGATTTCCATTGCTTGCTTGTTTGCTTTCAAAAGGCCATATTCTGAGGTCATAAGACAACTCAGCAAGCCACTGCTTGACCAAAGGGGACTGTGGACAGCCACAAGTGATTTATTTTAGCAGAATAAATAAAAGTTGTGTACTCTTCTTTTAATGAATGACTAATTCTAGTAACTCGCAAATAATAAAATCTTTTCACTGCCAAATGGAAAGCCCTGTTGAGTCAATCCAGATCATGAAATTTGGGGTAATCACAGGCATCCTATAAGAATCAGGGATGAATTGAAGAGCTAACAAGGCAAGGACCAGTGATAGGGTATCTTTCCCTTCCTCTAGAAAAATTGAAAGCCCTATTGAGTCAATCCAGATCATGAAATTTGGGGTAGTCCTTAAATTAGGTCACAATTTAGTTTACAATGAAAAAGAGGGTGGGGGGGAAATCCTGTGTGTTGTCATGAAGGTGGAGAGTCAAGACAAGGTCCTGGTCAGATTTGGTCCAGAAATCAATGTGATGTTGAAGATGGGCCACCCCTCCCACTCTCACCTTAGATTAACTCAGAAATGACTCAAGGTTTTCCAAACAAAATTATTAGGAGAATTCCCGTGCTATTTCCAAACCAGACTACTGCTTCACATCTTGATCAGTTCCCCAGTCCCCTAAAGTTGACTGCATCAGCTTCGAGGCCCCAAACATTCGCTTTCTCTTCCCTTATCATCAAACAGTGGAGAGCAGAAGCAATTGATGAAAGGAAGACATCCAGGGACCCAAGGAAAATGGAGAAAGATGCTAAATGAAACCTAACAGTAGGCTATCACTGGCAGTATGGACAAAAATCTTGGCAGTGATGCAAACTTCTCAACTTGCTTTTCCCAGGATCACGCTGACTTGAGGAACCACTCGTTTACAGTGGGAATGAAGTTGGAAGTGGTGGATAAACAAGAACCAGGCACAATTTGCCCTGCCACTATAACTAAGGTGAGAGATCCAAAATGAAATTGAGAAATGAACCAGCAATGGTACTCCTCAACGGAAGTCAGGGGGGAAAGTGGGAAGGATGCTTTCAATTAATATTCCTTCTTCCAAAATGCAGCCCTTCCTATATGTGATTTTAAAGTGAGGATGGGAAACTTTGCCTAGAGTTCATGCCATGCTCAGAGGGTCCATGGCAGGAGAGCTAGAAAGGAATATGAGGAATTCAAGGTCATCCAGTCCTAATGAATGAGTAAATGTGGGATTGTCAGACCTTGAGATAGGCCAGGTCAGGAAACAGATACCATACGAAGTACTGGAATTCTCCTTTATTGATATAGGCTATCATAACAGCATGTCCTTCCTTTTATACCAAAGAGAGTCAGGGCAGGGCAATCTTGAGTTTCTTTCTCACACTTCCTTGTGTTCCCGGGCTAAGCTCCTGTTTTGTTAACAGTCGTCGTGTATTTTCTCCAAGGTCATCTCCGTGCCCTTCCGCAGAGATTGAATAGCTATTGGTAAACAGTTTTTAGTTCCCCTTGTTCACAAAATGATACATAAAGCATCATAATTGTGATAAATGTGGTAGTCCTATATGTGGGAACCAACCTTGGAATGCAGTATCACTGATTTTAACAGTGCTAGTAACTTCTGTTAAAGATAATCTTAACTGCAGTTAACATCTGGACCAGTGTTTCTCAACCTTGTTGAGTGACATTGTTATTGTCTGGGGAATTCTGGAAGTTGAAGTCCACCCATCTTAAAGTTGCCAAGGTTGAGAAACACTGATCTGGATAAATAAGTTTCATTCAGACAATAAAAATAAGCGGAAACACTACGGCTTGAACACTGGTTACTTCTAGGTGTGCAAAACACTTCGTGTGGGAGTGGTCTGGCTGATCTTGTCTTTTCCCTGGAATAGGCTGATCCAAGCATTCCAGGGATGATATCTGTTTTTCCAGAAATGGGTGATCTGGAATTAGAAGTAGCTTGTCATACTCCGGCCTGTGGGTCCCTACTGGGAATCAGGACCTGTTTTTGTGTATGAAGATTCTGAGCTAGAATGGGGTGCTTTTTCATGTACCCCTAAACCTTGCTGCCTAAAGACTTCTTCCTCTCCCAGATTTTCCCATCTAAGTTAGCTTTCCCTGGTGGGTTGCCTTCTGGAGCTTCTCAAGGACAACCCCATCGTTCCAAATCAGCCTCAAAGTGTAGCACATTCCGGCAACTTTGGCTGAGAATGATGGGAACTGTAGTGCAAGTAGCAGAAGAGCAGCCTAAGGCAGGTATTTCCTGCAAGGAATTCATATTCCTCCACTTGCTTCTCTGCAGGTTTTCAACAACCATTTCGTGCAAGTCAGTCTTGACGATCTCCGTCCTGAAGCAAGCGAAACATTGATGCTTTGCCACGCCGATTCCCTGGGGATCATGCCAGTGCAGTGGTGCCTTAAAAATGGAGTTCATCTCACCCCTCCCAAAGGTTTGTCTCTGGATTTCAGATTTGGTCCAGATTTGGGTGGCTTGGATAGCTCTTTTGGGACTGCACCACCTGGGCCAGGAACTGAAGCTTCAATGAGCTAAGGGTAGCTGGTGTGACAGAAACGTTGTTTCCCAATTCCGTACATTTGCAAATATGCTCGCAACGTGCGCTCGGCTTTCCAGGCGTGCCCAGAGGTTCATGGAGGCTGATAAGAAGGATGACCGAGGAACACCACTCTGCTTCCTCCTCTCATTTCTTTTACCAGCTCCTGGTTTGCAAATGCTGGAAGAGGTTTGGGATAAGCTGAGAGAGATGCAAACTCCCAAGCAGGTTTGGCTCTGATTAGAACTTGGATCTCAAGGCTGGCGCACCAGACTTGGGAAACCGTAAAACATCTTGGAAGGAGGCAAACCTTTCTGCTGCCAAGAAAATATCGGCACATCTGTGTAGCCACCATAAGTCAAGCTGGTCTCAGGGGCATCTTTCTCTTTACATGTGTTTCTAATTCAGGGATGGGCAAATTTTGCTGGCCAAGAATGACCCATGCTGAGGTCTATAAAGAGGGTGGTATCACATCACGCATACACAATCCAGGCTATGTTTGTTTTGTTAATTGTGATAAGGTTGTTACTGTAGTTTTTATCCATTTCCAACTCAGAAGGGTTGAAAATTGTGCCTTCAGTTCGAGCAAACATAGAGGGAATTCCAGGGGCTAACCCAGGGTGCCAGACACCAGTCAGAAGATAGCTAGATGTTGCAGATCAGCGGTGGTCCTTCAGCAGCTCCAGTAAAAATAATCTTTCAATGAATTTCACATTTTTTGCAAACTCTGGGCAGCATATTAGATGTGGTGATTGAACAGAAACACCCAAGCTCTGTGTGTTTACCTGGAGTTACATGTTCAAATTTCCACTCGGCTCTGAAACACCAATGCATTTCTGTGTCAGAGTCAATGTAGCATCACAAAGTCAGTATGGTGGATTAACACTATAACGGCTTAACATTCAATTCCTGCCTAGCCGTGATCCTCACTGGGTAACTAGCCCAGTTTCTTTCTCTTTTGAGCAGTGTTTCCCAACCTTGGCCAGTTCCAAGTGTGTGGACTTTAAATCCCAGAATTCCACAACCAGCACGGCCATTGAGGAGAATTCTGGGAGTTGAAGTCCACACACTTGGAAGTCACCAAGGTTGGGAAATACTGCTCTTGAGCCTTTCCTATCTCAGAGCTGTTGTAAAGCTAAAATAGCAGAGGAGTGGCCGGGAGGCACATTCTCTGCCTTTTGCTTCTTACAGGCAGAATTTAATCTTCAGGACGATGCAAAAAGCATCAAGGTTGCCCCTTTAGATCAACAAACGCCCGATAAGGCTTCGGGCTTCTAACTGAATTTCTCCTTCTCAATCCAAGACGTTGGGTAAGGTAGATTAATAGTTGGGAATTAATGTACACTGAACAGTTAGAAGAGTTGTTTAGATTCCCAAAGGAGAAGAAAGGCGTGGGCCTTTTTTATTTGATGCCAGCCAGCAAATTAATATCCATTCATTTCCTACCCTACGAAAGCACTCAGTTGACACTATTTACATTGTTGATAGCTGGATTTATAGACTTCTTTTTCCTTAGGCATTAACAGCAGCAGGGCCAATTTTCTCTCTGCTCAGAGACTGGCATATTTGCACATCGAAGCGGTGCGCGTCCGTGTGGGTGCCTCAGCTTTTGGCTGAGTCTTAATCCCAGCGAGCGCAATTTCCAAGCTGCTGCAATTGATTAAATGTTTGTGTTCTGAAAGCCGGGGGCCTGCGCTCGGCTTGGAGACAGGTCACTCGGGCATTCAAGATGGAGATTTGAGGCCAGTGTCCAAGACAATCTGCTTGTCTTCTTTGAAGGAGGCAAGTCCCTTTCCCCACCCAAAATGGAGAGGCTGCAAGTTACAAACTTGTCTGCCCAGCAACGCATAGGAATTTCTACTAAAACACGGAGAGCCTGTGATGCTCTTAAAATTCCTGCATGGGCAAAGCTCAGCCCTCTCTTCATGGAGACGATGCCCAGCATTTTCCTGAGGGGTGCAGTGCAGATTTAAAGCTTAACTCAGCAGACCCAGAAGTATGAGGACAACGTGCTGGCAACTTAAAAAATACCGTATCTTTCTCATCCCTTCCACACACAGTTTATGGAGGACAGCTTTTATAATCTTCCTGGCGGGTTGTTCCATTCACAGTATACCTCCTCCTTCTTTTTCCTGTTCTTTAAATAAATCCTGAGCCCATTCTGCCCCATCTCAAAAGGATTGAGTTTTCCTGCCTTTTTTTGTGGGGAGTAAAGTATTCACGGGTGCACCTTATCTTCAGAAATGGCCCAGAGGTGAGTGGATGTCTCATTTCATTTCATTTCATTTCATTTCATTTCATTTCATTTCATTTCATTTCATTTCATGCCATTGTGTTCACTGCCAGTGGCACGGAGATCCTGGTTCATCTTTTTTTGTTTTCAAAATGGTCCCTTGACCCGTGCGACCTTCGGCTACATGATCAGGGAATCCTAGAGCCGGAAGTGGCCACGGGTGAGAGAGCCCACCTCCTTGCTCAGAGTAGGCATCCAGATGAAAGCATTGCAGACAGACGGCTCTGCAGCTTGTGCTGAAACGTATCCAGTCAAGGGGAGCCTGTCACCTCTCTGGGCCGCTCGTTCTGCTGTAGAACAGCTTTGCTGGAAAGTTTTTCCAACATTCGGTCACAGTTTGGCATCTTGTAATTTAAATCCTTTATTCTACACTTGCTGCTCTAGAAGGATAGAGAAGAGTCTCAATGTTTCCTTCCTTCCTTCCTTCCTTCCTTCCTTCCTTCCTTCCTT